AGGGAGGGGAGTGACACCTGACACCAAGTGAGTGTATGTGAGAGGGCCAGGGGCATACTGTGTGTGTGCACCCAGGTCTCCACAGGAAAGGGACGACTACTGACACCCTGTGTGTGTGTGTGTGTGTGTGTGTGTGAGAGAGAGAGAGAGAGAGAGACTATGTGTGTACCCAGGTGTCCAGGGGGAGGAGACTGACGTCCAACATCCAGTGTGTGTATATATGGAGGGGGGAGAGAAAGAGTGTGCTATTTGTGTACACCAAGTGAGTGTGTGAGACCCTGTGTGTGCACTAAGTGTACATGGGGGGACCAACACCCAGTGTGTGGTATGGGGGATTAAAGAACATGCTGTGTGTGTGTGTGTGTGTATTTGCAGATATGTGTGAAGCACATCCTGTGCGTGTGCACGCAGGTATGTGTGTGAGGGCCCATGCCTACGCAGGGGGTGTATCGACACCTAGCATTGTGTGTATGGGGTAAGGGACACTGTATATACACCATGTGGAACACCCAGCATGTGTGTGGGAAAATTGGGCCATGCTTGTGTGTGGACATAGTAGGCAGGTGTGTGTGCCTGCAAGTGAGTCTGTGTGAATGCAAGTGAGTGTGTGTATGAGGAGTAACCCAGTGCTTGTGCAAACCCCAGGTGAGCAGGTGTACGTAAGTGTATGTATGTTGCAGTGAGCATATGCCCACAGACCAGGCTGATCCTAGCTCAGAGCATCCTGTTTGGTCAGGGCTAAGTGATTTGGGATCTGAAGATCCCAAAATAGCCCTAGTAGTCTGAGCTCCCCTCCCCCACGGGGCCTGGGGCTCAATGGCCCTTTGTCTTCCAGAAGGTCCCCGCCCCTGTGGGGGGCTCAGACACTGACTGGAGCTGGGCGGGCTAGGCTGCTGCCACTTCCCCTCCACCGTCCTCACCCTGCCTGCCTGACCCTACCCCAGTGGTGGCCTTAGCCAGCTGGGCTTCCCAACCAGAGCACCCAGGGCTGGCAGACTCCCCCACTCCCACCCCACACATACCCTGGTTCTTCCAGAATCCCCACCCAGAGCAGCCGGGCTGGCAGACCCCCCAGTGCATGCCCTGTTTGTGTTTCCTCTACTGCGGGGTCACCCTCAAAGTCCCACAGCGCTGGTGGCAGCAGCAGATGAGGGACCAGTGTGCAGGGTCAGAGGTACAGGGCCCCTACGGCCAGCGACACTACTGGGCTTGGAGCCAGGAGATCCCTGTCTGCGGGGCCTGTCTCAGGCAGCACCTCTGACCCCCCCCATGTTGGCGAGGCGTGCCTGGAGAGGTGCCAGGGAGGCAGTGCCCCTTTCCCACGATGGAATCAGAAGGCCCAGGTGGCCTGGCAACAGCAGTTTGGCTGGAAGAGAGACCTCCTGATCCCATATGGCGACCCTTCCTCAGAGGCCTGTGTTTAGAGTGTGCAAGTGAATGTATGAGTGTGCATGGAATGTATGTATGTGTACACGCAACTGTGAGTGAGAGCATGTGTGAATGTGAGGATGAGGGTGCAAGTGTGTGAATGGATGTGAGGGTGCAAATGTGTGTGTATATGAGTCAGTGAGTGTGTAAGAGTGAATATATGAGCAAGACTGCACATGTGAATGTAAGAATGTGTGTGTATGTATGAATGTGTGCGTATGCATGTGTGCAGCTAGAATGACAGGTCAGCAACCATGCAGGAGACTAACGCCAGGGGTCTTGGAATGGAGGGGCCTTGGGATGGGTCAGGGTGCAGTCTGGCCCCAGGAGCCCTGGGAAGCTCTAGGTCAGGCTGCACCTGAGGGCAAGAGGATGGTGGGATCAGCGGGAGCAGGGGTCATGTGGGCAGAGGTTGCAAGGTGGAGGATCCAGGTAGGAGGGGCTGCCCTGCCAGGGAGAGGCTATGGGTGCTGGGATCCTCCTGGAGGCCTGTGGGCTGTGTTGGGCTGGTTTGCAGGTGGGGAAATGGGGATAGAGTGGGGGGGTCAATCAAGTCGAAGGTGTTGGTCTTGAAGGTGGTCCCTTAAGGATCCCAGCTAGGGTCATTAGGGCCGTTTGTGAGCGGGATGTGACTGGAGTGGGCTCTGGGTACAGGGTGGAGAATGGGGCGGGAGCTGCAGAGGTGGGTCCTAGCCAGGCTCGCAGGGAAGGGAATGGGGGGTTGCCCTCGTGGGACGCAAGTGGCTAAGCAGGACAATGGGCCGGGGCTCCCAGATGCACCCTGCGCCCCCGCCCCGCTGTGACGTCTTGTTGGTGACATTTCCAGGAGGCCTCTGGGGGGCACTCCAGGCTCGCGGGACCTTGACAGCTATTTACATATCGTTTGTTTGCATGAAACTCATTTGCATGCTTATCTGGCCGGCAGTTGGGGAGTGGTTTGAGATGTTGCTGTCAGTCTCTAGGGGAGAAGGGTGGGCAACGCGATTTCTGGGATTATCCTACTCCACTCTCTGGCTTCGACCCCTTTGGTTATTGTTTGTGACCCAGCCCACTCCCCACCTGTATGCACTTGCAACCCCCCAACACACACTGACAGGGTGGGACCAACAGGAGGGGAACACTCGCAAGCACATAGAGTGACTTGCTGTGCACACACACAGCCTGCCGCCCAGAACTGGGCTCCTTGTGCAGGCCCTAGCCCGTGGGGGGCCTGAAAGACCCTCCAAGACCCTGAGTTTAGACCCTGCCGGCCTCCAGGCCTGCTCACACACTGCCAAGACCAGAGAGGCTGGAGAGGAGACGTTCCCCCACAACTCTGCCCCCTACCTCTGCAGCCCCAACCCCCTTTCCAGTCAGTGTCCAATTACCCACTAAGCGAGGTAAACATGGATTTACTTGTGCTTGTTTAGTAATCTGTAGTGAACAATTTCACATTTTTTCTACACATCAAAGATTCTATTTCTAGATATGGCTGGCATCTGTCTCCCCCAACCTCACAGCACTTTCCTACAGAATCAAAGCCCCTTTTCAATTTTACAGTCCCTGGCAGGGATTGAGTATCCAGTACTAATCTGTAGTGAACAGTTTCATGTTTGTGGTCAAACCCATACGAAATTGTTCACAACAGATTAGTAAGTAAGCACAAGTAAATCCATGCTTACCTTGCTTATTGGATAATCTGCCCCTGTTCCCAGTCCTCACCTCTGACCTCCCAGCCCCAGGGTTCCTGCTTCCCCCACTCCCAGCCCTCACCTGTGACCCCTCCAGCCTCCTTCTTCCCCAGCCCCTACCTCTCCCCGACACACCCGCCTTCCTCTTTGTGCCCCGCCGCCCTTTGCCTGGCGCTCCATCCTTTTTGCTCCTTGCGCTGCGACTCCCCGCGGACACCAGGGTCCCCGGAGGCACCCTTCCTTTGTCTCTGCTCCCCGCTGCCGCCCTCAGCGCCCCGCTCCCCTCACTCACCGCCGCGCCTGGCTTGGAGAGGCCGCGCTGCTGCCTGGGCGGGAGTCGGCGGCCTCCGCGCGCGGCCGACTCTTTATTCCTCCTCCTGACGCGCGTTACCCCTCCCGCCGCTGCCATCGCCGCGCCGCCTCTGCCGGGACTGGAGCCGCCGCGGGAGCACCGCCCGCCGCCGGACCGCCGCCTCCCTCAGAGCCTGCTCGTCCACCCCGAGCGCGAGGAGGGGCCTCCCCACCCTCTCCAAGGGGCCGGCTGCCGGGGCAGGGTCGCGGGACTGTTGGTGATCCCAGACCAAGCAGAGGGGCCAAGCAGAAGCAGGGAGGGTCGCGCACAGCAGGGTTGGCCACTGGCCCTCAACCCCCTTCTGCCTCCCTCTGAGCCCAAATTTGGGATTTTGGCTCCAGGAGAATCAGCTCCTCCCATTACAGAGCTGGAGGCTGGGGAGGGCCCTGTACCCCCAGTGTGAGCACAGCTGCTGGCCACGCCCCACCTGGGGGTCCCAGCATGGGGAGGTTAGCCCCACAGAGGCCCAAGGGCGCCCCCTGAGAACATTCCAGCCCGCGGGGGCCACCCGCCTGTGGCTTCCCAGGCCATGCCTCCGCTGCCGCTGGAGCGGGACCCCCGGCAGCAGCGCCGCGTCTCACTGGTGGTACGCTACTTCATGGTCCCCTGCAACGTCTGCCTGATCCTGCTGGCCACCGCCACACTGGGTTTCGCCGTCCTGCTCTTTCTCAGCAACTGTACGTGGCCCCTCGGGTGGCCCCGGGCTGGCATAATGGCCTACTTCCACCGGCTGAGCCTCTGGCCCCCCAGGGGTCAGAGGGCAGGCTGGGTCCCCATCATCTTCTGGGGACAGGATTCCAGGCCCCTGAGGTCTGCTCTGGGCTGATGGGGACTGCCTCTCTGGTGGCAGGAGCAACTTTCTACTGCAATTGGGGAGGGAGGGGCCCGGGCTGCACTGGGGTGGGGGGTGGGGGATCGAGTCATGCACCTACTGGTCTAGCAAGTGTCAGGCTGTGACACTACAGTTGGAGAGGCAGAGAAAAGCAAGGGCCTCCCTGTCAGTGAGGGTCAGGTCCTGGCCCGTGTGGCTTCCCAGCCTCCGCAGTCTGGACCTCTGTAGGTGGGGCTGGAGAAAGGGGAATACTGGACCAGGCAGGGGCATAGAGGGCATGGGGGTGTATGGAGAGGCTGTGGGGGGTGGGGTGGGGTATAGAGGGTGGGGTGTGGGGGGCTGTGGGAGTAGGGATTTGGAGGGTAGCGTGTGAGTGCCTACGATTGGAGAAGTACAGTGTGTGATGGCAGGGGCTGGAGGGTAGGGTGTGGATGATAGGGGCTGAAAGGCGGATTGCGAGTGGCTGGGACTAGAGGGTAGGAGGGGGGCGGGGGGAACTGTGGGGATGGGGGCGTGGAAGTGGGGTATGGATGGGCTGAAGCTGGAGAGTAGGGTGTTGAGTGAGGTGGGGATGGGGCATGGAAGGCAGGGTATGGGTAGCCAGGGCTGGAAGGCTGTGTGGCCAATGGCATGAGGGGTCCATGCCATGACTGGGCAAGCAAAGGAGTCTGGAAGGTCTTTATTTGTGGATCCTAACTTGGAGATTTGTTTCTTCTAGATAAACCTGGGACCCACTTCACACCAGTGCCCCCAACACCTCTGGATGGTAAGTAGGAACTTCAGCTAAGCTGGGGAGTTCTGTGTCTGTAGGGGAAGTGGTCAATCTTGAGGCATGTTGGATGTGTCTGGAGGTGGGGCCAATGGAAGGGGGAGCCAGGGTCCTCCTGGGGGTCCCCAGCTGAAGGGCAATAGAAGGAGCCTGGGGCCAGGAGTCCCTTGGGCTATACCCCTTGGTCCACTGGCCGTGACTGCTAACTTCTCTGGACTTCAGCCTCCATATGGTGAAATTGGGACCAAGTCCCTGGAACCCACAGGCTGTGAGAGGACATCAGACTGTGCAGATGAAGATAAGACTAGGCAGAGATGGAGACGGACAGACGCTGAGGGTGGAGTCTTAGCAGTATGGCCAGCTGTCTAGGGAGGTGCCTGGCTAGCTTAGGGTCTGTCCCTGGGACTGAGCAGTTCTTGGCTGGGGCAGGGGTTGGGTGGGGTGGGATGGTGAAGAACGGGGTGTGGCTGGCCTTCTTGACCTGCTTTGTGGGGTGGGACTGGCTTTCCTGGGATCTGCTGTGTGTGGGCCACTGCCATTAAGCTAATGTGGAAGGGAAGAAAAGAAGCTGTTCGTGGTGCTATTGGGGTGACAGGAGGGGAGTGGAGGCAAGGGTGGGGCCAGTGGGTCCTAGGGTTGGGGAGGGGGGTTCTTGCCTTGTCCCAGCCCATCCCCTGGAAGCTTCTCAGTTTGCCCTCAGGATCTGCCCCCCACAGGGGCACTTTGCTAGGCAGCAGGTGGGTTCTGCCCAGGTATACAGACTTCATGGGGATGTGGGTCTCACCCTGGTCATGGGAGCCCTGGGCTCTCCTCCCTGGTTTGCATAATCAGTCAGGGTCACTTCTTGGGTCTTGGGATTGGGGGACTTGAGGCTGGCTGGGCCAGGGCCTCCCTCCCTCTGTCCTTTGGTCCAGCCAGGGGCTTCTCTTGCATCCTCTATCTGTCCCCCTGTAGCCCTACAACATCCCCCCCCAGAATCCCTTGAGTTACCCCCACAAGCCCCTGTGGACCCCTCAGAGCTCCAAGGTCAGCCTGTGAGGAGGTACCTGTTTCCAGGGCCAGAGTCACATGGCCAGGATGGAGGGGCTTATGACCTCTGGGGGTCTCCACCTGGGGGGCATTGTCCCCCTCCCCTGCATAGACCTTCCAACTTGCTACCATGGTACACGAGGAGGGTGCAGAGAACAAGGACCCTCCCTTGGCCCAGACACCCCTTCCCTCTTGTAGCCCCAGCACTGGGGGCAGGAGGGTGTGGCTCAGGCAAGTCTGACCACTTGCAGGGCAGTGGAAGGTAGTGTTATTGGTCCCAGGGATAGGGAAGTAGGGCTGAGCTAGTTCCCATAGCCTGTGGGCAAGAAGCCTGGTGAGTTCTAGACTTAGCATTGGGCCCAGGAGCAAGGCTGCCCTCCCCTTTCCTAACACCCACAGCCACCAGAGGCTGGTGGGCCTCTCCTGTCCTTTACATGTACCCCCGCCCCACAGCAACACACCCTCCCATAACGCACATGTGGACTGCTACGTGCCATGGTGTCACCATGCACACCAGCACACCACACGCTCGTGGCCAACGCAGGACTGGGGCATCCTGCTCCATCCTCTCCCCACCGAGACCAGGAGGCAGTTAAATATAGCCCACGCCAACGGGCCGGCTATAAAAAGCCACTGCTTCCTCCTGCATTGTGAGGGAGGCCTTAGCACATGGGCACATGGGGAGCAGGACGGCAGGGGCTGAGTGGCCAGACTGGGGGTCTGCAGGAGGCTGCACTGGGGAGGCCATGCTGGGGCCTAGAGGTGACCTCATAGCTCACAGGTGCCTGGCACACCTCTTGCGTTTACGAGGGCAGTGTGGGCCGTGAATTGGTGTGCGGCCAGAGTGGCTCTGACATTTACCACAATGTGATTGTGTCTGGTGACCTCACTTGTGTGCAAAATGAGCATGAAGGGGCGTGTGTGTATGTGTAAGTGACACATAGTCAATTATGGTATGACATGTAGAACAATGCCTGGCATGTGCAGAGCATTGTTGCTATGATGATCTGTGCTTGTGTGTATACATACATCTGTGCATGTGTGTGGACATGTGCGTATGTGTTTATATGTGTGAACGTGTAAATGTCCATACACATGTTTTTGTGTGTAGGTGTGTCCAGGTATGAGTGTTTATGTGATTATATGTTTGCACATGTATGTGAGTACATGAATACATGTGTACATGCTTTCCCTTGTGTGTATCTGTCTATGTGTGGTCTCAGTGTGCACGTTTTCACGTTCCTTCAGGAAAACTTGTGCCTTTGTGACTCTAGCCTGCAGGGGAGGCAGGCATTGGTGAATAGCCTAGCATAGGAGTGGGGAAGCTTCCTGGAGGCAGTGACTTCTGAGCTGAATTTTGGGAAGGAGGAGATGCTGTTTGGCACAGGGAAGGGGTAGAGTATTCCAGTGTAGGGCAGCATCCCTCTGGATGGCCAAGGAAACTGCTGCCTTAGTTGGGAAGGCAAAGAACCAGAACCCACCCCCACCCATCTGACACCAGGGTTAGTGCTTGAGCTCTGGCTTTCTGTCCCACTGGGCACTCTGGGCCACTCTTTCCTCTCAACTATGTCCAGTCCAGCAGCAACTCCCTCAGAGTCCACTCCCAGGATATCTCTGGCCTCCTACCCCCAGCTCCACCCTCCACATGGGGCCTGGAGACTCACCTGGCCTAGTACGTTTCGCTTCTGCCACCTCCCAGTCACACCCAGCTCAGATGCCTGGTCCATGGCTCCCTTGTTCTCTAGAAGGTCTGCCACAGACAAGCCATGCCCAGCCTTGGCTAAGACAAGTGTGCTCATCACAAGCTGGCTACCGCCATCACAGTTGGCCTTCATTCCCAGGGCTGTCTTGGAGGAGCCACCTCTGAGCAGGGACGTGGGGAATGTGGGTGAGGAGCACACTGGTCATCAGGAGCTGGTGTCCTCAGCCATGAGCTTGGGTATGGGGAGAGAGGTCTGGCTGGGCCTCTGTGTAGCTAGCACTGGAGCCTTGGTGGAGGGCAAGGTGACCAGAAGGAGAGATGGGGCCAGAACAGGGGGACCCACTTGGGGAGCACGGTAGCCCCCGGGGAGCCTGGGCCATGGAGGAGGACTGGCTAATTCGGTGATGGGGCAGCATGGTGACTAGGAGGGTGCGGTCACCAGGTGGCATGGTGACTGGGCAGCATGATGACTAGTGTGGTGACCAGAGGAGGGCTCAGTGACCAAGAGAACATGGTTATCAGGAGGGTGTGGTGACTAAGAAAATATCATGATTGGGTAGTATAGTGTAGTAACTGGGTAGTGTGGTGACTAGGCAGCATAGTTACTGGGTGGCATGGTGATGGGAGATATGGTGACCAGGTATGTGGTAACTAGTGGCATGGTGACCACGAGAACATGGTTACTGGGCAGCATGGTGACTAGGTGGTGTGGTGACTGGTAGTATGGTGACCAGAGAGCATGGTGACCAGCAGGATACTGAAGTCAAATGGAGTGGCCAGCAGGGCATCAGCAAGTGCCTGTTGGATGGTTCTGGGAGGTGCCAGGGGCCTGGAGAGGGAAGACTGGGCAGGAAGAAATGCTTGGAGAAGGGTCAAGGGTGGACACAGCTTTGAGCTTGATCTTTGAGTTTGATCTGAGGTAGGATGGAGGGGGTGATAATGGGGACAGCGGCTCATGTCACTATAGTAGCAATCATTAGTCACTGCCACTGCATCTAAAGCTACATTCTGGGCACCTGGGTGCTTTGCGGATACCAGCTTATTTCACCTCAGCAGCTGTGCAGGTATATCCTGTTGTCCCTGTTTACAGATGGGGAAACTGAGGCACAGTGAGGCATTAATTTCAAATGATGCAGAGGTGGGGTAGCCTGGCAGCCTTGGGCAGGTGGGGAAGGCAGACAGGAGTGTGGAGGGGAGGGGCTGGGCATAGGGGGAAAATCCACCTCGTCCTGCCAGTGGTCCGGTCTCGGTGACCGTCAGGTTATTGCAGGACTTGGAGTAGGGGGTCAGCACGGGCCCCACCCTGTATACATCACCCAGCCTGTGCTGGTGGGGGCGGGGATGCTTAGACAGACGCAGCTGCCAGCTCCAGGCGGGCTGTTACTATGGCAACCACTGGCTCCTGGGCCCGTACAGCCCTCCTCTCCTGGAGATGGGGGTGGAGGCGCCTCTTCCTGCCCTGTTTCCCAAGCTATCTGGGAGGTGATGGGTGGATGGAGAGCCACACCCTACTCCCCATGACTTATTAATGATAATTAGACTCAATTGAACATTTATTGGATCCAGACAGCTGCAGCCCCTAATGGGCCTGCCCCACCTGCCCAAGGGTGGTGGTCAAGCAGGCGCCAGTACCAGGTGGGAGGGGCTGGCACTCAGGCCTATGCACTTAAATATCCGCCCAAGTTCTTTGTCTCGTACTGTTTTTTCTGGTGGCAGAGGTAGCTCATAGGCTCAGTGGGCTTGGCCTCTCAGCCTGGGGACCTACAGCTTAACCTTAGATGCCTTAACCTCACTGAGCCCCCTTCCTCTGCTGACAGATGAGGGTCAGGTGCAGCCCCACTGGCTTGGTGTGGAGGTCAGCAATGGGCCATGGTCAGGTCCTGCCTGTGCCAGCACACTGTCAGCTCTCAGATGATGCCATCTGTTGTCGTCCTACAATGTTAATTAAAATATTCAGAAAGTAGACTGGTAATCAAAGCCCCAGCGTTTGACTCTGCCCCCAAAGGTCACCATGGATGGGTTGGGTTTTGAGTGCTGAGTACCCAGGTAGAGGCAGCAGGACCAGGGAGTTGGCAAGAAGGGGGCTCTGGGCTCCAGGGCTTGGGCTGGGGAGGAGGAGGCCACTGTCATTCTACGGCTGGGGAGGTCTGAGAAGGCTAGAGGGCCAGTTTGGCTACCTGGGAGGGTCCATACCAGATGGCCGGGAAGTCAGAGGAGGGTGGAGACCTGGTGGAGGGTGGCTGGGAGCACAAGGGGAGCACACAGACCTGGGGGAGGCTGGCTGGCTGGTGGGGGGCAGGAGAGGACAAGGATGGCTATTCCTAGTTTAGGGAAGAAGGAAAGAGAACAGAGGCATGGTCCACATGGAGCCAGGGCCAGGGAAGATGCTTCCAGAGGAGAGGCACCTAGAGAAGCAGGCAAGGGTGGGAAAGGGAGGATTCAGGAAGAAAGGGGCTTGCAGAGGGGACAGCAAGGCCCTGTGAGCATGTGCAGCAGTAAGAGCAGTGTGAGTGTGTGCACAGCTGCAGGTCGTGTGAGGGATGTGAGGAGGAGTAGAGGCATGTATAGATGTGTGTTTGACATGCATGCAGGTGAGCACCATGTGCTGTGTGTGGAACATGTCAGTGAATGCATGCATGGTGGTGATGAGCACATACGTGCTCCTTGTGAGCATGTGTGGCCATGAGTGTACATGTATACAAATGTCCCTGGCGTTTATGTGATTGGACTTCATGTAGTGATGTGCTCGGCAGGTGTGTGGACGTGAAAGTGTCCCCTCACATCTGGCAGGGTCTGGCCCTGACCCTTCCCTCCCTAACTCTTCAGTGTGCCGGGGGATGCTGTGTGGCTTCGGTGCCGTATGTGAGCCAAGTGCAGAAGGCCCGGGCCGAGCCTCCTGTGTGTGCAAGAAGAGTGCCTGCCCCAGTGTGGTGGCACCCGTGTGTGGCTCCGACGCCTCCACCTACAGCAACGAGTGTGAGCTACAGCGGGCACAGTGCAGCCAACAGCGTCGTATCCGCCTGCTCAGCCGCGGCCCCTGCGGTGAGTGGGGGGAGAGGCCCAGCATGTGTGGGCGGGCTCAGGGGGCAAGGCCCAATGAAGGTAGGGCTTGGTGAAGGGGCGGGGCCTAGGGGAGGGAAGGCAGGGCTAGGGGCAGGCTTGCAGTGGGGTTTGAGCCCGGTGAATGGGAGGTGGGGCCTAATGAGGGGCTGGCAAGGAGGCCAGGCTGGGGAGGCAGGGCTCAGTGGAAGAGTGTCACCTAGTGATTGGCGGTAGGGCCTGATGAGTTGGGGGGCCAGGGGCCTGGTGTGGATGGATGGGTCCAGTAAGAGGCAGGACCCAGTGAGGGGCCCAATGGCAAAGGTGGAGCTCTGTGAAGGGGTAGGGCCTGGCAAGTGGGGACAGAGTTCAATGCTGGGTGAGGGATGGGCAAGCCTAGACCCCCACCCATCTCTGCCCACAGGGTCCCGGGACCCCTGCTCCAACGTGACCTGCAGCTTTGGCAGCACCTGTACCCGTTCTGCTGATGGGCAGACTGCCGTGTGCCTGTGCCCCACCTCCTGCCCAGGGCCCTCTCGGGGCACTGTTTGTGGCAGCGATGGGGCCGACTACCCTAGTGAGTGCCAGCTCCTGCGCCGTGCCTGTGCCCGCCAGGAGAACCTCTTCAAGAAGTTTGATGGCCCTTGTGGTGAGCACTGCTTCTGTGTGTGGTGTGTGCCTGGCTTGTGAGCACAGCATGTACGGTGTGCAGAGTCATGGTGCAGTGCTCTGACGCTACCCGCTGCCTTCAGACCCCTGCCAGGGCACCCCTGATGACTTGAGCCGTATATGCCGTGTGAACCCTCGCACACGGCGGCCTGAGATGCTTCTGCGGCCGGAGAGCTGCCCCTCTCGGCAGGAACCTGTGTGCGGTGACGATGGCATCACCTATGACAGTGACTGTGTGATGGGCCGTACCGGGGCTGCCCGTGGCATCCTTCTCCAGAAAGTTCGCTCTGGCCAGTGCCTTCCACGAGGTGGGTATGGTTCTGGTGGGGGACCATGGGCCTGCCTGTCCCAACTGCCACATGTTACACGTCCCCAGGCCCACACTACCCCCTCCCCCTGTGTCCGAAATTCAGCTACTCAGTGGTGTCCTTGCCCCGCCCACTCCTGACTGCAGACCAGTGCCTGGAGCCCTGCCAGTTCCACGCTGTGTGCCTGTCCCGCCGGGGCCGGCCCCGCTGCTCCTGCGACCGTGTCACATGTGATGGTGCCTACAGGCCTGTGTGCACCCAGAATGGGCACACATATGACAATGAGTGCTGGCTCCACCAAGCTGAGTGTCAACAGCAGCGTGCCATCCCTGTGAGGCACCGGGGCCCATGTGGTGAGCACCTGCCCTGCCTGCACCCTTCTGGGACCACATCTGTCCCTGTCTTCTCCCATCACATGCCATCTGCATCCACTTCACACCCTCCTTGGGCCCTAGTTGTGGGGTGGGCCACTGGGGGCTGGGGCAGGGAGAGGCTATGAATGGGGTGCCTGGGATGCTAGCGAGGCTGGGAAGGGGTAGGGGCAGGGGTCCTCTTACAGGCTCCTGCTGCCTTCAAGTTCTCTGGTCAGTCTGTCTGTCTACCTTGTGCTGCAGCCTCAAGAGAGTGGGTGGGGGTGGATGGGACAGGGCCTTGCCCTCTTAGGAGAAGAGTCTGGGGTTGGGCTTGCAGCGTTTCCTCGTGGGCCGGGGGAGGGGCATCTCTGCCCACCGCCCCTTTCCTCTGTCTTGGGCGGTCTGTCCTTTCCTGTCTTTCTCTGTGTCCGTTTGTCTCCGCCCCGTGGGCCTTCCTCCCCTCTTGGCTCCGCCTCTTGTGTCTTCCAGCCGACCTACTGGCAGGAGGAGGTGCTGCACCTGCACCCCGGAGCCTGCAGCCCGAGGTCGGCCCCTGGTGCGGCAGGGGGGAGGGGTGCTCGCTGCTGCCTGGCCTTGCAGTCCCCAGAGCAAGTTGACAGACATGCCCCCTCCCCATGTGGCCCTGGGTGTGACTCGGGCTGTGGCCTACCCCCACACAACAAAGAGCCCCTCTGCAGTGAGTGTCAGGGGCTGAGGGCAGGGCCATCTAGGCCCCTCTCTGTGGCCCAGATGGGTAGTCAGAAAGTTCTCTGTTTCTGGGTGCAGCTGCCTACACCTCACGCCCAGGGCTGCGGCTGGTGATGCTTAGGTCTGTGTCCCTGTACTTCTTTGTTTGTCATGTGTCTGTCCCTCTCTCTGCTGTATCCTATGCATTTGGCCCCTCCCCTTGGCCCACGCTCGTCTGCTGCCGTCCCCCAGCCGGAAGGGTCTGCTGCGTGGGAGGGCTTTCTCCCTAGCTAGGGGCAGGAGTCACTAAGTGGCCACATCCACCCCCCAGGCCAGCCCCCATCTCCCTGCCGCGGGGTGCAGTGCCCGTTTGGGGCAACATGCGCGGTGAAGAACGGTGAGGCCGCATGTGAGTGCCCGCAGGCGTGTCCAGGCGTCTATGACCCAGTGTGTGGCAGTGATGGCATCACGTATGGCAGTGCATGCGAGTTGGCAGCCACGGCCTGCGCCCTTGGACGAGAGACTCATGTGGCACGAAGAGGGCCCTGTGGTCAGTGGTGGGCAGGGGGCCTGGCGGGGGGGCGGGGAGCTCCTGGCCATGTGGTGATGGAGCCCCCTCTCCAGACCGCTGTGGGCAGTGCCACTTTGGGGCCCTGTGTGAGGCCGAGACAGGACGCTGCGTGTGCCCCTCCGAGTGTGTGGCCTCAGCCCAGCCTGTGTGCGGCTCTGATGGGCGCACCTACGCCAGTGAGTGTGAGCTGCACGTGGCCGCCTGCACCCGCCAGATCAGCCTTCATGTGGTTTCAGCTGGACACTGCCGTGAGTGGGCAGGGCAGCTGGGCGGTGGATCCCCTCCCGGCCCAGTGACCCTGCTGACCCACATCCTTGCCTGTAGAAACCTGTGGCGACATAGTGTGTGCCTTCGGGGCTGTGTGCTCGGCGGGGCAGTGTGTGTGTCCACAGTGTGAGCACCCCCCACCTGGCCCGGTGTGTGGCAGTGATGGCATCACCTACCGCAGTGCATGCGAGCTCCGCGAGGCATCCTGCCAGCAGCAGACACACATCGAAGAGGCCCGGGCAGGGCCCTGTGAGCTGGGTAGGTTCTGGGGGCCGCTGGTGGGCGCTGCGTGCCCCAGCGAGGACCACTTCGTGACTCAGCTGCTCCCTCCCTGTCCATAGCTGAGTGCGGTTCAGGAGGCTCTGGCTCCGGGGAGGATGGTGAGTGTGAGCCTGAGCTTTGCCGACATCGTGGTGGTGTCTGGGACGAGGACTCAGAGGATGGGCCGTGCGTCTGCGACTTTAACTGTCAGAGTGTTCTGCGGAGCCCGGTGAGGCCCCTCCCCTGGCTCTGGGCGGCCGCAAGAAAGGGCCACGGCTGCCCTCACTGAGTTCCCCCCTCCAGGTTTGTGGCTCTGATGGGGTCACCTATGGCACCGAGTGTGAGCTGAAGAAGGCCAAGTGCGAGTCACAGCGAGAATTGTACGTTGCAGCTCAGGGATCCTGCAGAGGTGAGTGGATGCAGTTGAGGGTGTGTTCCAGGTCCATGTGTGGGCATGCAGGTGTATGTATATGTTTCCTGTGAGTGAATGCTCCAGGGTGCATGTACACACGAGTATGTGTGTCTTGTGCATAATGTGTGCACACGTTGACATGCTTATGTATTTGTGCAGCTGCACCATGTCCACCATGTCCACCAGCTGCTAAGTTTACAGAGCATACATCCAGGCTGGGCCCAGCCTCAGGGCAGTGAACCAAGCAAGGCCTTGCCTCCTTGTGCTGCTCCTCATGGGTGATTACAGAGTGACAGTGACTTGAATAATGTTAATATACACACAAGTGCACATGGTTGTGTGTGTGTGTAGAAGTGTGTGTGTGAATATGCATGGTTTTAGAGGTATGTGAGTAAGTGCTTGTGCATGTATTTTTATGTGTATGCCAGTACACTTATTTGTATATGTGTATATTTGGTTATATGTATGTGCACAGGGCCATGTCAGTCATCCCTGTGTATTCAGTGTGCACAGGATACTGTGTATCCTGTGTATACATGGTCATGTGTTTTCTATATGCATATGGTCCTACATGTTCGTGGTCCTGTGTGTTCTCTGTACACATGACCACATGTGTTCTATATATGTGATCCTATGCGTTCTGCGTGTGGTTCCGTACATGCTGTGTGGACATAGTCCTGTGTATACAGACATGTCTTCCTAGGTGATGTAAAGTCTTCCCCTGGGACACTAGCCCCAAGGTCCCCAGGTTTGCTTGGGAGTTGGCATCAGGAGGGTGCAGGGTGGTTGAGGTAGGGCCAAAGCCCCAGTTTGAACCTTGTGATCCTCCCACAGGTCCTACTGCTGCCCCATTGCCACCCATGGCTCCCCTCCACTGTGCCCAGACCCCCTATGGCTGCTGCCAGGATAATATCACTGCTGCCCGGGGTGTGGGCCTGGCTGGCTGCCCCAGTAAGTACCTGGCCTGGCCCGAACCCAGCCCTGGAGGAGCACGTGGGCATGTGGCCATGTCCTTACCTGGCCTTGCAGGCGTGTGCCAGTGCAACCCGCATGGTGCCTACGGTGGATCCTGCGACCCAGCCTCAGGCCAGTGCTCCTGCCGCCCAGGTGTGGGGGGCATCAAGTGTGACCGCTGTGAGCCCGGCTTCTGGAACTTCCGTGGCATAGTAACCGACGGCCGAAGCGGCTGTACTCGTGAGTGACTGAGGCCAGTCATGCACTTTATGTGTCTACCCTCACTGTGTGTCCTGGGCCAAGGGTCTCTGTCCCACACCTGGCACGGGTTGGGCAGGCACCTAATAGCAGATGGAGACCCATCAATGCTTGGACGTCAGGTGGCTCCCCCACCCCCTCCTAGCCTGCAGCTGTGACCCTCAAGGCGCTGTACGGGATGACTGTGAACAGATGAGTGGGCTATGCTCCTGTAAGCCCGGGGTGGCAGGTCCCAAGTGTGGGCAGTGTCCAGACGGCCGGGCCCTGGGCCCCACTGGCTGTGAAGCAGGTGAGGGCAAGGTCGGGTACTGCCTGGGATCCCTGTGCTGGGGTGGTCCTGGTGTTGGGGTTGGGGTGCCTCAGCCAGTGGGGGGGCTCCTGAATCTGTACCCCCAGACTCTGCAGCACCTGTGACTTGTGCGGAGATACGCTGTGAGTTTGGTGCCTCCTGCATAGAGGAAGCTGGCTCTGCCCACTGTGTGTGCCCGATGCCCACATGTTCAGAGGCCAATGCAACCAAGGTGAGGGTGGGGAGACTTGGGTGAGGGTGGTGGGTAGGGGACAGGTACAATCCCTCTGAGCCTCCTTGGCCTGTGCCACCACAGGTCTGTGGTTCAGATGGTATCACCTATGGTGATGAATGTCAGCTGAGGACCATCGCCTGCCGCCAGGGCCTAGACATCTCCGTCCAAAGCTTCGGGCCCTGCCAGGGTAAGGCCCCATGTCCACCATACTGGTACCAACCAGAGAGGCCTACCCCTGCCCTGACCTCCTGCCCCAACCCCTACTTTGCTCCTTGCAGACTCCATTGCTCCCAGCGCCCAACCAACACCTGCAGCCACCTCTGGGCCTGTCTCACATGGGGCACTGCCAGCGCCCCCTAGTATCCTCCCCCTGGCTCCTAGCAGTAGACCCCACAGCCAACCCACACCTCAACCCTCATTGCGACCATGGACCACAGCCAGCGTGCCTAGGACCACAGGAAGGCTGGCACTGACCGTGCCCCCCACAGCTCCCCCAACGGTGGCCAGCCTGGCCTTTGGTGAATCAGGCAGTGCCGACGGTGGGAGTGGAGACGAGGACCTGAGTGGGGACCTGGAAGCCAGCGGAGCCGGCTCTGGGGGTGCGCAAGGACATGGGACACGGGTGGGTCCTTAGGGTACTGCTAGGGCTTGGCTCACACTGTGTCTCCCCAGGACTTGAGCTCCTGGAGGATGGTGGCTCTTTGACCCCTGGACCACCCATTGAGAGGGCTTCCTGCTACAACTCGCCTCTGGGCTGCTGCTCAGATGGCACAACAGCCTCGCTGGACGCAGAGGGCTCCAACTGCCCTGGTGAGTGGGTAGCCGCGGGGCTGGGGAGCTGGGCGACTCGCTGGACAGTGGTCTGGGCGTGGCTGGTCCACGTCTGCTGATGGTCTTCTGACCTTTGCATATGTGTGAGCATGGTCTTGGCCTCTGCACACATGTGTGTGGTCTTAGCCTCCACACACGTGTGTACCTAAGACTCTGGCTAACACGTCTCTCTCGTCATCAGCCGGCCTAGGGTGTTGCCCTGAGGAGTCTGTGTGGTAACTGTCGCCAGCCCCCACACAGGGGTCCCCACTAACCTCATCACCATCTGACTAACCTCCATACACCCCCTACCCCCATGTGGCTTTTTTCCCACTGTGCCTAAGGCTGGCTGGGAGGCCAGGCAGGTGCTGGGCAGGGCCTCACTCCCCCATCCCCTGCAGCCACCAAGGCGTTCCAGGGTGTGCTGGAGCTTGAAGGAGTTGAGGGGCAGGAGCTGTTCTACACACCCGAGATGGCTGACCCCAAGTCAGAGCTGTTTGGGGAGACAGCACGGAGTATTGAGAGTGCGGTGAGGATGGCGTGGGGTTGCACAAGTTCTCAGGTAGAAGACAGACCCATGGAAGCATAGGGGGTGGGAGGTATGGCAAGACAGCCTAGGGGCAGCTCTCAGACAGGCTGGGGCACCCCCAAAAGCTACGTACCCACTCCCTGTCCACAGTTGGATGACCTCTTCCGGAACTCAGATGTCAAGAAGGACTTCCGGAGTGTGCGCCTGCGGGACCTGGGGCCCGGCAGCTCCGTCCGCGCCATTGTTGAGGCCCACTTTGACCCCAGTGAGCCCCTGGGTCCCAGGGTCCCTCCCAGGAGGCAGTGGGGCTCTGTACCCATTCTGCTCTACTCAGCACCTCTCTTTCTCAGCCACGGCCTTTAGGGCACAAGACGTGGGCCGGGCCTTGCTCAGGCAAATCCAGGCTTCCCGCCGCAGGGCCCTAGTGGTGAAGCGGCCGCTGCAGGAACATGTGCGCTTCATGGACTTCGGTGAGCACTGCCAAGCCCCGCCCCTACCCTACTCACCCAGGCCCCACCTCCTCCATACCCATGTTCCTTTCTCCCCCCAGACTGGTTTCCTGCAATATTCACCCCGGGAGCCACCACTGCCATGGCCGGTGCGACCACCGCTGCCCACCAACCTTCCACCTCCATGACCCCTCAGGCCCTCTACCCTACACACACAAGCCGGCCACTCAGCAGAACCACAGCTCCCCACACCACCCGCCGACCTCCCACTACTGCCCCAAGCCGTGTGCCTGGACGCCGGCCCCTGCTCCCCAGCACCCTGAGGCCCCTGCGGCCCTGTGACTCGCAGCCCTGTCTTCACGGCGGGACCTGCCAGGACCGGGATGCCAGCCAGGCCTTCAGCTGCAGCTGCCCTGCGGGCAGGGGGGGCACTGTCTGCGAGATGGGTAGGAGAGCGGGTCAGGAACTTAGAGGGATGGGTCAGGACGAAGGGTGGGGCACAGTTCGGGTAGGGGGAGTTGTGGGCCTGAAGGCTGGGCAGGGCAGAGTGGGGGACGTGCTGGGCAGGTTCCTCTGCCTGCCCCTGGTCTGACCCTTCCCACCTACTGGCAGTCCTGCGTCCTGTGGTGCCAGCCTTTGGGGGCCACTCCTTCCTGGTCTTCCCCACACTTCGTGCCTACCACACATTGCGCCTGGCACTCGAGTTTCGGGCTCTGGAGCCACAGGGGTTGCTGCTCTACAATGGCAATGCCCGTGGCAAGGACTTCTTGGCCCTGACTCTGCTGGAAGGCCGTGTGCAGCTCAGGTGGGTGGGATAGATGGGGCAGGACAGGGCTCAGGAGCGGCAGCTTGGGAGGGTGGAGCTAGGGCAGGGGAGGGGGCCATGGGGCAGAGGGATGGGGCCAGTGGTCATCCAGAGTACTATCCCATGCTCTCCCAGGTTCGACACTGGCTCTGGGCCTGCTGTGCTAACCAGCTCAGTGCCCATTGAGCTGGGCCGCTGGCACCGCCTGGAGCTATCACGGCACTGGCGCCAGGGGACACTCTCAGTGGACGGCGAGACCCCCGTACTTGGTGAAAGCCCCAGTGGCACCGATGGCCTCAACCTGGACACAGATCTCTTTGTGGGTGGTGTCCCTGAGGACCAGGCCACTGTGTGAGTACCAAGGGGGTAACCCTGACCCCTGACCCTCTCTTGTGGACTTGTGGGTGGTGTCCAAGAGGTCCAAGCTACCCTTGGGATAGCAAAGGAGTGGGGATTGTGTGTGGAAGATGCTGTGAACCTGTGACCTTGATCCCTAGTCATTGACCCTTATCCTATCTATGGGTGGTGTACCTGAGAACCAGGTTGCTGTGTTACCGCTGAGTAGGGGCTAGGCTAGCCCTCACCTTCAGTCTCGACCCTTCACCTTCAAGACCTCACCTTCTGATTCTGTCTTGTTTGTGACACTGGCCACCTTGTGAGCACTAAGGAGGAGTGGGGGATGGAATGGGTGCAGCCTAGACCCTGACCTCTGATCCTGGCTTACTGAGGGTTATTGGGTTGAAGCTGGCTGCAAGAGAGGATGCCTCTAGATTTTGGCCTCTGACCTCTGACCTCTTCTCTTCCTGGATGGCAGGGTGCTAGAGCGGACCTCAGTCAGCGTTGGCCTGCGGGGCTGCATCCGCCTGCTGGACATCAACAACCAGCAGCTGGAGCTGAGTAGTCAGGAGGCTGCAGCCCGCGGTGCTGGTGTGGGCGAGTGTGGGGGAGACCCCTGCTTGCCCAACCCCTGTCACGGTGGTGCCCCATGCCAGACCCTGGAGGATGACATGTTCCTCTGCCAGTGCCCGCCCGGCCGCTTCGGTGAGGATGGTGGAGGGGGCTGGGAGTCTGGGGCGGGGGCTTAAGCCTCATGGGATGCCCCCCATCCATCCCTGTAGGCCGCACCTGCACTGATGAAAAGAGCCCCTGCCTGCCCAACCCCTGCCATGGAGCAGCTCCTTGCCATGTGCTGCCTGAGGGTGGAGCCAAGTGCGAGTGTCCCCTGGGACGTGGAGGCACCCTCTGCCAAACAGGTGAGAGTAGGTCAGGGACAAAGGTCAGATTAAGATAGAGGGTTCACATTCTGGTTCAAGATTGGCTTTGGGTTTGGGTTCATATTTGGATCAGGGTTGGAATTCAGGTTCAGATCTGGGCCAGAATTGGGTGTTGTGGTAGGTTGGCACAGGATCACAGAGTAGGTGGGAGATTGTGGGGGATCTGGGTCAGGCACAAGGGATTGGAGCCCCTGTATCCTGTGTGACCCTGTCTTCTGCCCTTCACAGTCTTGGAGCGGGATGACTCCTTGCCCTTTCTGGCCGACTTCAATGGCTTCTCCTACCTGGAGCTGAAAGGCCTCCAAACCTTCGAACGGGACCTGGGGTCAGTGGGCTATGGGGGTGGGGGTGGGGGAAGCAGCCAACTTGTCTTCCCATGGGGGGGATGGTGAGAGGACCCCTGCGTGACCTTGTGTGACCCCAGGGAGAAGATGGCGCTGGAGGTGGTATTCCTGGCCCGTGGCCCCAATGGCCTGCTCCTCTACAATGGGCAGAAAACGGATGGCCGAGGAGACTTCGTGTCACTGGCGCTACACAGCCGCCACCTGGAGTTCCGATATGACCTGGGCAAGGGAGCAGCGGTCATCAGGTGGGTGGCCGTAGGGACACTGGGGTGGGTGGCAGGCAGGCAGGACCTGCTTACGGTGTCCCCTCCCCACTAGGAGCAAGGAGCCAGTGGCCCTGGGCACATGGACCCGGGTCTCATTGGAGCGCAGCGGCCGCAAGGGTGCACTGCGTGTTGGCGATGGGCCACGAGTGCTGGGAGAATCTCCGGTGAGTCCCCGCCCTTCTGTGTCTGGCCCCTCTTGGGCGTGCGCAGTCTCGCCCCTCCAGCTCTTACTGAACTGTTTTCTTTCTCCCTGTCTGTGCCCTGCCTGGTCTGTTGGTCTCTCTCTCTGCTCCCTGCTCTCTGGCTCTCGCTCTGCAATCCCCACCCCGCTCTTCGGATCTCAGAAATCCCGCAAGGTACTGTCCACTGCCTCCTCCTCCCTAGAGTAGCCTCCACCCAACTAAGGAGCCCAGTGGCTGTTCTTTTGACTAACAATCTCCCAGAAAGGCGGGCCAAGCGTATGGCCAGAAGGTGGCGCCCTGAGTGGGCTCGCCTGGCCGAGCATCCATGGCTAGGCCCTACAAGGCCCCTCACCTAGTGTCTCCCCCAGGTGCCGCACACAGTCCTCAACCTGAAGGAGCCACTCTACGTTGGAGGGGCCCCTGATTTCAGCAAGCTGGCCCGGGCTGCCGCTGTGTCCACTGGCTTTGATGGCGCCATCCAGATGGTACCTAGGGGACAAGGCTTGTGGTGGGGGCCTGCCCCGGGGGGGTTCTGTCCTAGTAAGGGTTCTCTCTCCAGGGGGTGAGGGCACTGCCTGTGTGGGAAGGCTCTTCAGGGGGCGAGCAGGGGTATCTGTCCGGTGGGGGCCTTTTCAGAGTGCCCTGTCCCAGCAGGGAGCTCTCTAGGGGAGTTGGGGCCTATGGAGGGAGCGTTTCCAGGGTACAGGGGTAAGGGTTCTGAGGCCTCTTGGGGATCCTATCCTCCCGGGATTCTTTCCTAGGGTAGGGCTACATGCAGAGTAGGTGTCAGCACAGAGCCTCTCCACGCCCCCCATCCCTGTAGGTCTCCCTGAAGGGCCGACAGCTGCTGACGGAGGAGAACTTGCTGCGGATGGTGGATGTCTCGTCCTTTGCAGACCACCCCTGCACCCGGCCCTCAGGCCACCCCTGCCTCAATGGGGCCTCCTGTATCCCACGGGAGGCTGCCTATGAGTGTCTGTGTCCTGGGGGCTTCTCAGGGCCACACTGCGAGAAGGGTGAGCATGTGGGGACACAGGGACGTGGAGCCTGGGGATGGAAAGCCCTGCCGAGGCTCCCCCTCACCTGATGTGTCTCAGGGCTGATCGAGAAGTCAGCAGGGGACCTGGACGCACTGGCCTTTGATGGGCGGACCTTCATCGAGTACCTCAACGCTGTGACTGAGAGGTAACACCCCGCCCTCTGTTGTCTGCCTGGTCCTATCTGCCGCACAGGTGCTCACACGGTCAGGCTCCTTGGCCCGTGGCCATGAGGGAAGGCCTGGCACTGCCCACCACCACACCACCTCTGCTCCCCTCTCACTGTCTATCTCTTTGTTTCCAAGCGAACTGACCAATGAGATCCCAGCGTAAGTAGATCCAAGCCTACCTGCACTTCCACATTCACTTTCATCCATCTGTCTCTTCTCCCTTGCCCACCCAGCATCTCTGTCCTGAGCCCCCATCCCAGATAGAGGAGAGGAGGATGGGCCGGGAGCCAGTGTTTGTGCTTCTGTAAGGCTCTGTCTTCCACCTTGGAAGTGGGCAGTCACCCCCTCTAAGGATTCATGCCACAAGATGCCCATGAGACCCAGAAGGCCCTTCACCTATGGTCAGGGCACTTTATCCACTCTTGCAGCCATTCCCCTTACTGTGGAGGTGCCAGCATGAGTGTGCACGTGTGTGTGTGTGTGTGTGTTGTGTGTACAGTGCATATACCTGTGTGTGCTATTGTGTGTGTACATATGCACTGTGTGTTTATGTCCTATGTCTGTATATGCACACAGGTATGTAAATTTGTGAGTACTGTGCACATGTATGTGACTGTTCAGGCATTTCTGGGCCTCTTCAGGGCTGGTGTCCCCTCAGCTCCATTCCATGTCACCCCCATGCATCACCCCTTGAGCTCTGTGCTGGGCATAGGCCCTGCCCATTTGCTGTATGTTGCATGTGTGTCGTGTGTGTCACCGTTAAGGGTCTTTAGGAGGTAGAGCCAGTGCCCAAGGTCCTGCGTGTCTCCTATGGACGTTGGCTCCTCCCGCTGTCCAGCGTTCACAGCAGGGCATGGGGAGGGTGGTAGCCAGGCTTCTCCCCTGCGCTTTAGCCTTGTCTGTCCCCTGCTTACCTGCCTCCCTCTCTTCCTACTTCTAAGCCCTGAAGCTCCGGATCCCGGGGCCTCTCACAGGTGAGCACGTGGCAGTGCCCAGGGGTCCTGACTGCCGCTCCCTGCCACCCATCACTACCCTCTCATCTCTGTCCAGCCATCATGCTTGCTACCCCTCCACCAGCCACCTGATCTCCCCCTACCCTCTGCATCTGTCTGTCCATCCATGTCTGTTCATCTCCCTGTGTCACTGTCCATGTCCTTTTATCTGCCCATCCACACCTCCCTGAATTGCCCTCCCCAGCCTGGTAGCCTTGGCATTCGTGGCCCTGAGGCTTGGGGATGGTAGTCTCTTTCCCTCTTGAGATTCTGTCCGCTTCTCCCCTAGCGAGAAAGCGCTGCAAAGCAACCACTTTGAGCTGAGCCTGCGCACGGAGGCCACGCAGGGGCTGGTGCTCTGGAGTGGCAAGGCCACAGAGCGGGCAGACTACATGGCTTTAGCCATCGTGGACGGGCACCTGCAGATGACTTATGACCTGGGCTCCCAGCCTGTGGTGCTTCGCTCCACTGTACCCGTCAACACCAACCACTGGCTTCGGGTCAAGGCGCACAGGTAGGCAGGGTCCACGCTGGCTGGTAGAGAGGAGGTGGGGACAGGAAGACCCAGCAGCAGTGGGCCGAGGGGTCCTGTCTGGAAGAGGAGACCCTGCCCTGCTAGGTGCTGGTTGAGAATGCTCCTTGGGACCATTCTGTGCCCCCGGCCACTAGGCCCTTTCCTGGGAGTCATTGTGGCCTCCCAGGGCATCTCACTTGCAAGGTGTCAGGTCTGGATCTAAAGGTGGTAGAGGGACCCTTAGGCCACCTGATGGTTTCTCCCCCACCCCAGGGCACAGAGGGAAGGCTCCCTTCAAGTGGGCAATGAGGCCCCCGTGACTGGCTCCTCCCCGCTGGGCGCCTCACAGCTAGACACAGATGGAACCCTGTGGCTGGGTGAGTGTTGGGGTGGCCAGGGGCCAGCCAAGCACCCCCGGGTCTTGGAGGGACAGACCCTAGCCCCTAGGTCAAGCTGCTGAGGGCAGAGCTAACAGCAGAGCTGGGTGGGTTTGGGCAGGGCTCCGCCCTTACCCACCTCAGGATCCTGCCAGGCAGTGTTGGGTGGATCATTGCAAGTCCGTGACCTGCCCTGTAGGGTTTCGGCAGGTGACTCTCCCTCTGTCTGGGCTGCAGGGGGCCTGGAGAAGCTGCCCATAGTCCAGGGGCTGCCCAAGGCCTACAGCACCGGCTTCGTGGGCTGCCTGCGGGATGTGGTAGTGGGCCAACGCCCACTGCACCTGCTGGAGGATGCTGTCACCAAGCCCCGGCTGAGGCCGTGCCCCGCCCCCTGAGCCGGTTGGGCCAGGAGCCCCCGCACCACTACCACCCACCTGCTGTAATTATTTTCTATTTTTGTAAACTCGTTGCTTTTTGATATGATTTTCTTGCCTGTGTGCTGGCCGGAGGGACTGCTGGCCCGGCCTCCCTTCTGCCAGACAGCCACACTGCAGACAAAACCCAGAGCCAGGACTTTTGGGGCAGAGGCAGCAGGAGGACGGGCTCAGCCAGATGCTGCAGATACACTCCTGCCTTGCCCCCTGCGTCCCACCATGGTCCCTAGTGGCCGTGCAGACTGTCCCTCTGTGTGCATTTCACGTGTTTTCCTGTGCCCCCTGTCCCCAGGCCCATTGGCAGGTCCCTGCACATGTCACTCGTGCCCTCTGGCAGGGGCCTGTGTTCCTGGAGCGGATGGGCCACCGACCTTGCCAGGAAGGTGCTGGGGCTTGAGGTGGGCCCTTTCCTCCAGCCCTACAGGACCTTTCTGGGGATTCCCTCTGAGTTACTCCCCACAGGAGTGCATTGTGGGTTGGGGATAGTCTCACCCTAGGGCCCAGCCCTGCCCTGGGTCTCATGGGCCAATACTGTGACTTAGAAATGTTGTTCCTGTCAGGGCCACACACCGTGCCCCAGAGGCTGTGTCTGCCAGGCCCAGGCCATTCTGGGTGCCCTGACCCTTGCAGGCCCTGCCCTTCCACCTGGTGGATGCACTGGACGTGGCCAGGCTCCCCGCCCCCCAGTCCAGGTCCTAGGATGGAGCATGGCCAACATGGGCGTGAAGTGGTTGACCTCTTGCCTGCCTGCCTGGGCCCATAGCATGTTCCCTTCTGAGGGACTAGGGGTCCAGACCTGGCCACCAATCAGAGTGCTTCATGTATGATGTTATTTAACACTTTGGGGGATGCGTGCTCGGCCCCCTTCTCCTGGTCAAGGGCAGCTGTGGACACCATGGACACCACCTTGTGGCAAACCTTCCAGTTCAAGTGTGAGACAAGGTGCGCTTGTCCAGGAATGCGTGTGAAGGGGCCCAGGCTGTGGTGGTGCTGGGGAGGCAGAGGCAGCCGCAGAGCCAGAACTGCCTTAAACTGCAGCATTGCGTCCATCCTGTCCCCCTACCCCGTGTCCGTCCTCCTGGTGGAGGCTGTGGCCCAGACATCCTCCCTGTAGCTGAGCCGCCCTCAGGCTCAGGGCCCAGAGGGGCAGGGAGTCGCCTGGTGTAAACATTACTAACCCAGTGCTGTCTGCTGGTCACCGTGAAATAAAGTCTAAACACTTCAAGAGAGATGTTCCTGTCTGTCCTCACTGAACCCCTCTCCTCAGCCCCGCCTGCTGCCCACCTGACAGCCTCATGGTGGGGGCTCTGGGTGGAGGGGCTGGGCCTGCACTCTGGGTGGGGATGGAGTTGGGGGTGGCTCCTTTTGACTGAGGATTCCCCGCGGGGCAAGATGACACACACCAGCTGGAACATTGCTGGGTGGGGCGCCATGGGCCAGACCTTTAGGTGGGTTCCCTGGAGGTGACCAGGCTATGGCAAGTCCTGCTGGCTGGCCTCCACTTCATGTGTGTGTGTATATTGGTGAGAGTGGGCAGAGCAGGTCACTAGGAGCCTCGTAGGCAGTGGGAAACGTAGCATAGTGGCTAAGACACTTGCCTGCTAACCAGACGGCTAGTGATACTGCCTTGGAAACCCAAGGAGGGGTCGCTGAGTCAGGTCTGACTCCATGGCACATAACAACCACCACCACCACCACCTCTGGCTGTCTCAGATAAGAACTGTGAGGAGCAGGCCGGCTGGCCAGTGGGTGCAGAATGTGGGTGGAGAGGCAGAGGGTCACAGAGAACTTTGGGGTAACACGACAGACAAGTGCCTGGTTGGAGATTGGACAGAATTGGGAGACAGAGTGGGGGAGCTCCGGAGACCGTGTGGAGGGATGGGCTTGGCCACCTGTGGTACCGGATGGGTGAGTGGAGGACTGCATGTGTGGGAACGGGTGTGCCCCACTGGGAGGAGAGGATGAGGGCTGCAGAGGAGGTGGGGGAGTCTGAGCATGTGCCCAGTGCCTGCAGGCTGAAGCCTCCGGAAGGAAGAGAGGCTCTGGCTGGCAACGGGGCTGAAGGTGAAGGCATCTGAAGACTCAAGGTAGCAGGAGCAGGGTGTGACTGGTGACCTGGACTGAGCAGTGAGTCCCAGGATGGGAGGGGCAGTGATAACCCCGACAAGAGGGCTTGGGCTGGGAGAGGGCCTCACTGAGAGTGGGGAGGCAGCCTTTTCTCTCCCGCCTCTCCCTGGGTCAGTTTCATGCTTTGCTGGTGGGGATAGGGGGAACAGAGTAGAACCAGAGTTTAGGGTGTCAGCAAGAACCCTGAAATGGCCGTGGGTCCGGGAGAGATGGGGACTTCAGTTTCTTGGGGGGGTGGCTAAGGTGCAACAGCAGCGGTCAGAGGGAGTGGACGTGGTCCAGTGGGGGGGGTTGTTACCACAGCAGACCACCACGTCCATCCTCCTCCGCCCCAGCTCAGAGAGCTCAGTCCCTCCTCGCCAGCTGCCGACCTTAGGAGGTTCTCAGGAAAGGGCCTAGACGCGCAGCACAGCGCGGCCTGGGATGATCCACAACCAATCATGTTTAGGCGCGAGACACGCAGGGCTCGGGGCCGCTCCGGACTCGGCCGCTCTGGACTCTGGGCCGCGCCGAGCTCGCCCTCTGGCGTCTTTGAATTCTTTGGCGTCTTGGAAAACTTGTGCTTGGAACCAGATTTCCCTGGCTCTGAGACCAGCAGGCGGGCCCCGTAACGGAAACTCGGGGCGGGGCATCGAGGGGCGGGGCCGGACTTTCTCCTGAGCAGCCTGAGGGCGCCTCTGCCCTATACGCGGACCCAGGAGCACCCCGAGAGCGCGACACGACCTCGCGCTGGTGAGCACTGCCGCCTGGTATCTCCGATACCGTGGCTCAGGGAGATGCACTTCGGCTCGGGAGGGAGTCTAGAAGGGCAGCAGGTGTCAAGACGGGACACCTCATTACCTCCCCGGTGGAAGGGGTTCCATGGGACCTTCCTACACCCCTTGCTCGGCTCCAGGCCACGTGCGGTCCAGTCCGTGGTTGGCCACTCTCCTAACTCCTTCTGAAACTGTGGGCAGCAGCACTGGGATTGCCCCTGAGGGTCATGTCCTTCCGAACCTACCTGCAAGGATCAGCCATTGTTGCAGACTCCCTGGTTCCAGGCTCCTGGGGACCCCTTTGGGGAACCCTTGAGAGGGGTCACAGGTTGGGCCAGCTTCCTACCTCCATAAAGAGGGGAAGTGGGACGAGTATCAGATACTCCTTGTCCTTCCTGCCCACATCCCTGCTCCCTGTGTGTGTGCTAGCATGCATATAGCTGGCAGCAGGGAGTCATACAGGTGTGAACCTTATGACTGAGGCCATGAGTCACCCCAGTCCAGGGTGGGACTGGATAGGGTCTGATCTGTGGGGCCCACCTGGCACCTCCCTGCTCGAACTCAAGTACTTCAGTCCCAGGCAGACACACTCCTGTCCTACCTCTCATCAGCCACCCTGCAGTGCCTGTGAGATGAGGGTCCCCAGGACCCCTAGACCAGGGGAGGCATGGGGTGAGGGGACAGACAGACAGCCTAGCTGAGCAGCCCCTAGCTGCATTTTGGACCCTCAACTTCTCATAGAAAGTACGCAACACAAACTCAATGCACTGCCGATGAATTGCATCTGACTCATAGTGACCCCTCCTTAGGTTTCCAAGGCGGTATCACTACGGAAGTAGATTGCCTAACCTTCCTTCTGAGGAGTGGCTGGTGGGTTTGAACGGCCAGCCTTCTGGTTAGCAGTCAAGTGCCTTAGGCACTATGCTACCAGAGCTCCCTCATAGAAAGTAGAAGTGGGTTTATCTCTAAGAATGTGTCACCCTCCAAGCTCTTGAGTTCCAGATTTAAAATCCAGCTTGAGGGCTGGGACCCAGGGGGGTCTACATCACAGGAAGGGGCCTGATAGACATGATCCCTTGGGGATCCCCCCTCAGTCTCACTCTTATCTGTCCCCTGACCAATTGCCAGTGCTGTTGGTGCTCAGTTAGGAGAATCCCTGTCATTTGCCTTTGTCACTGGCTCTCAGGCCCCACTGCTTGCTGGAAAACTCTGGCTAGGCTGGCCTGACCCTCACTCCCAGGCCCCACCCTGTGATGACCATCTGGCTTGGGCAGGCCCAACTGAACCCCAGCCCCCACTCAATGTCCCCTTCCTGCTGCCTCTAAGCCCTGTGGTTTGTGGGTTGGCAATAGCCACTACCCGTCAGGCTGAGCAGTCCCCACCCTGTCTCTGTAGTTTGATGCTCTGATACTGGTCCCGTCTGGGCGGTGGGGCTAGGCCTGCTGAGCCCCTTTAGGGCCCCTCATGTGCCAGGGGTTGAGATGAAAGACATATTTCTGGTTAATATGATTCTGTCTAGTCAGGATGGACACTGGTTGGTGGGCTCTCTGGGTCTAGGAGGCCGTGAGTGATAGTGAGGCTGGGGAAAGACCTCCAGGTCCTAGGCAGGGAGATGGGAGGGAGAGCTGCCTGGCCTCTGGGGTTCCCCAGCCCTGGAATTCCATCCCAGGACTCCTTCACTGCAGGTATGTCTGGCCCCTGTATCAGGTGTGTGTAGGTGTGGCTGCTACTGGGGTGAGGTCCCAGGGACCCAGAGTTGGAGCTGTGCCTGCTATAGATGGGACACCAGGGCCAAGGCCAGGAAGCTGGACTGGCATGCAGCCATTCTTGGTTCAGGCTGATCTCTTGGGTGACTTTGGCTGCTCCCAGGCTCCTGAGCACTAGGCTGAAGCCCAGCCTTGAGCAGTCCTGGTGCTCTGCGGCCTACCTGCATCTGCCCTTCCTGGGCCTGAGGAGCCTTCAGCCTCTTGACTCTGTCACCAGGGCAGAGCTGAATCACTGACTGCTGTTGGAGCAGGGCACCCTTTGGCACGGAGGTGACCCTGGGCCCTCTGGAGTGGGCCAGGCCTTGCTGAAGCC